CTCATATAAGTGGACAGGGGAGGAATAGCCTTTTTAACAATCGTAGTTCTAAAATAAAATCCTACTAAAACCAAAAATATATCAATTTTTGTTGCGTAAGGTCACGGTGTATACAACAGTGTGCACACATTTGCTATATTTGATTTTTAATTTAGATAGTTGTTCACTATCAAGGTAAAAAAATACTGTCCTTGTGCGTAATAGAAAGAGTTCATTATAAGACAGGTTGAAATACATTAGAATGCTTATCTTCTTAACGGGACATCATCATTTTTTCCGTTAAAAGAGGTGTCCGTTATTTACAAGTATCCGTTAATACAGGTTTCGCTGTATCGTTTATCACTGACCGCATTCATTTTTTATTTACTTATTTCGTTCGGGAATAGTCCATCGTATATTGTTGTTATTACTATTATTTTTACTATCTTTACTATCATAATTAATATTTAAATATTTGCGGGGGCTCCATTATTTGATTGCCTTCATATCTATATCGTTTGTGATTATTTTCGATAGTAGTGACATTTTTATAACAAATTTACTTTTTTCTTACTTTTTTTCTTCTCTAATTAGTTCTTTTTGTTGTGGTATTTAATACAGCTATTATTTTACATATTGTTTACCACGCAAATGTATGATATAGACCTGTGTAACATCTACATCTGGGCATGTCGTAAATGTGCATTATAAATATAATACCCAGCGATTATTTTAGAAACGTTTCGCAGGAACATAATTATTATTATTTAAAACATAAATTGATGGTAAGCGCTTTCGAGCACATCGACGTTGAGCCTTGTAATACTATGGGGTACTTCGAGTTTTTCATACTTCATCCATCGTAGTATAGTTATATCAAGTGCCCCACCGGCAATCTCTTTGTAAGGTTTTCGTGTTGAAAAACGTAATTCGCCATTTAAATCGAAAATTAAAACTAAACATTCAAATGTTTACGTAATATAAAAATCAATATCCAGAATAATACTACTATTTGCATCATTATTACAGTGTACCTAATGTTTTTGTTTTGTTTCGTTCGCGTTTAAACAGTTGTTTATCAAAATCTAGTTATGCGAGATCTCGACACGACGAGACTGTTGATGAGCAAACGAAAACCCTTATAGAAAAAAAAAATGTAATCCGAGCACTTGATCTAACCGTTCGATATCACTCCAAGACTTTAAATTTTTTTTCATTGATATTAAAAGAGTATCATATTTTATTTATATAATAAATATCACAGCAACGTTAATTTATTTTTCAATGATAATGATAGAAAATATAATACGTGTAACGAATCATTCCTTATCATAGTATAGGTACACACATTCATGGAATTGATTTATACAATTGAAAATACTAGTTATGGGAAACGTTCCATGAGCTTACAAATAAGTGTATTTAAATTATAATAGGTGTTTGATTTTATAAACTTAACTCAAAATCGTTTTCCTGTCGTTAAATTTTGTATTCTAAAACATTACAACTTATAACTGATTAATTTCCTGGAGTACCTATCGTGATGGTTATTCCATTGAAAAATTTCTTTAGTTTATATTATAACGAATATATATATATATAAATATAAATATAATAATATAATATAATATATAATAATAATAATAATAAATATAATATATATATATATATATATATATATATAAAGGATTTAATTGAATATAATGCGATATGTATGAATATGTATTGATATAGTAAATGCAGTGTTTCTGAACCCTATACTACATATATTTGATATAGTCACACAACTACTATGAAGTTTTATTTTAAGACCTATTAAATTAATTTTAATTAAATTTCTTCTGAACAACGTACGTCTTGAATCAGATCAAAATCCAGTGACTGCAGTAAAACTATAATTCATTGCTATAACGAAATCAATTGTTATCCTTGTAAAATCTTTAATTCATATTAAATGATATTCATAAAATACATTAAATTGATCTGTATATATATACATCGTATCTGATTAAAAATTGAAATGTGCTATTTAAAAATGATATTTTTATTTTTGTTTTATGAACACTTTTTGATGTATAAAATATACTACAAAAGTTTTATGCGATATAATTTTTATATAGTAGGAAATCGAAAAGGGCATTTTCTGATGGTTAGTAAGAAAAAAACATTGAAATAATATTAATTTTAGTCTGTCCAACGTTAATATTTATATTGATCGAATAAATAATTTTGTCCTTTTTTGCTTTTAAGCCATAAGTGGATTTGAAATTTTATACTAAACCAAAGCTTTTGTATAGAGTAAAAAATTCAGACGATTTGGCTCCATCGATATTTTCAAAAAGCTTTTATGTTTCAATGGTTTTCATGAACATTTTTCTTTTTTAAACTTAAAAGTGAAGATCGATTTAGACATGTTTAAGTGAAATATGTACTACCTTTTATAAATGGTGATTTAAATTTGCCTAAATATTTACGGATTTATTTATTTAAGGAGTTATACGTATCACAAATACAACGTTGGTTTCTATCAACTCAACAATTATTATACTTATAAAAATTTAAAATTGATAATTATTAAAAAATTGTATTGAAAAAAATCTTTAAGTAATTTAATTTGTATTTTTAGCCTTATTTCTCAACAAATTTGTATTTTATGTAAATATGTTATCGTTAATTATTTCAGGTGCGTTACCCCAGCACCCGCACTTTTGAAATCATGAATTGTAATCAAGCAGTATTATGTATTTTATTTTGTACAATTCGGTACAACCAAAATTGTAAAAAATAAAGTACATAATACTGTACGGTTTAAAGTTGAAATTTGTGAAAAATAGTTGATCCGGGTGCTGGTGTAACGTTACCGCAGCACTCGTAAAATGAAATTGAATTTCGGGGAGGTTTGGGGGGGTTGTACAAAATTTGATTTTGGTTGTACAAAATTGTACAAAATAAAGTACATAATACTGCTTGATTAAAATTCATGATTTCGAAAGTGCGGGTGCTGGGGTAACGCACCTGTTTATTTCTAATTAACATAAATAATTCAATTCTAGTGGAATTAATTGTAAGTATATTTTTGATAAGGCAGCCAATATCAACCCCCCACTTTCATAACAACAATTTGAATTCACAGTAAATGGAATTTAAAAACATAAAAATAGTTATAATTTTATATAGCAACGTATATACCAACATCCAATACAAGCGACGATTCAAACTAGACAAAAAAAAAGAAACAAAAATGAATATATAAAATTTACAATGGTTTATTTAGGGCTGTCCCGACCCCCGACTGTAACAACAACAACTGATAATGTTTTCTACGTTTTTACGTTAAGAGGACGCTACACTGGTTATTATATGTAATAAAAATATAACTATAATATCAGTATACCAAATTTATTTTTAGTATACATAGGCGATAATAATCGAGTCTTGCGTGATCATTGTACTTGCACAATTTTACTTATTTAACAATCACACGCATTCACGTACATACGCTTGTGTGTATAATTTATGTACACAAGTACAAATTTCAGAGACGTTAGACGGTGCACATCGACGTCATCAGAACATAGTTCATTGACCCTAATTTATTTACGAAATAATTATTTCATTCGTTTCTTATTGGTTCATTGCTATTTTTGATAATAAACAAGAAATAATTTAAATTATAACAAATGATAATTAATATAATTAAACTTGGTAAAGTAGAACTTTTTATCAAATAAAACCATATAAACGTTAAAAACTATATATATATATATATATATTGTCAAAATATGTGCTCTTGGTGAGCTAAGAAATATTATTTTTGAGTATTTTTTATTTAAAAATATTAGGTGAGACAGCGCCTCACTTACCTTACCCCCAAAACTGATTCCGAATTAATTCTGTTTCTGATGACATATTTGTAAATTACCATTAATATAGTAAATTGATTAAAACCGGTCTATTGATATGTTAAATATATATATTTTGCATTTTAAAATCTTGCTCAAGTGATAGAATGGATGTATTACTCGAAAAAAAAATAAAGAAAGCTCACGATGCCAGCTTAAATTATTTCAAACAAAAAAATTTTGAAAAGTAGCAGCTCCCATGTTATATTAATACGCAGATGATATAACGTTGTTTAAATATTATTACACGCGTTTACCGCATGGCAATGAAATGCGACAGAAACCGCAGACTTGTCAGTGGATTTTGGATTGAAATTGAACTGTTTCATTACCCCTGCGACCTGTTTCACTCGTCAAATTTAATTCTTCCTCGATCCTCGTTTTAGACATTGTTCTCATAACTCAAAAAACCGCAATTACACCGCGGAATTCATCTCTGTCACTACAATGCTTCCCGACACATTAGTCCGACAACGACCGGCCCAACGAATATTACTATACAGCCTGATAACATAATTGCTTACGTATACTAACTGCTAGAAAATCTCTCGTTCGGTGAACTACAACAAAGATATTGTTGACATATATTTTGATTGAACAAATACAAATGTTGTTGGTATACCGCATTTAGGTGCAACAATACAGTTGAAAACTTAATAATATGTAAGTGGTTTAATTAATATTGGGGTCGTTCAATCAATACTTAATGATCGGTTGAATGGTGCAACTGATGTGTAGCTCAATGCATTACATTTCATAAGATATTATTATATTATATATTTTTATTTCTGTAGAAATGCGTGATTTGTATTTTAAATTATTTAAAACACTGAACACGCATAATTTATTCCGCATAATGGTTGGTTTAAAACTTAAAGGTGCTTCGTACGAATTTAAACGCGTACATTTACGTATATACTGTTCACGTACACTTTTATACATATTTGACTTAATTAAAAATATATATTTTATAATTTAATGTTTTCGGCAATATATCATTAAATTTATAAACATTGCAGTTACATGGTTTAGTGGGATTATTTTATTTCATTCGGCGTATTGATGTTTCTTAACGTTCTATAATATATTACTTAAAATTAAAATAATCAAATTTCTTACATAATGTTTTTTTTGGTTGATTTTTAATAGTGATTTTTTGACCATCTTCTCGTTTCCAAGTAATTCTTGGTAATGGATTGCCTTTGGCTTTACAGGCTAGAGTAGCATTTTCTCCTTCTTTTACTGTAATATCAGAAACAGTTTCTTCGTCTTTGATATCTGGTGGAACTAAAAAAAAAAAAAAAAAAATTATATAAATACCAAATTTAGATTGAACTTATTATTGTAAAATAGAAGAAAAAAGTTTTTTTTGTGTAAAATATATATTTTTTATTTTACTGAATTTAAAAATTTACTTAATCGAGTTTTAAAATAATTTTAAAAACTCATGACAATAAATGATGGCTGCCTTTAAAATGTTAAGTAATTTAACAATGTTGTTACAATAAAATCATAAAAATAAAACAACTTGCATAAAAAATCCAATGATTAAAAACCTCTCTTTAAAAAATATTCTGATAACTATATTGCATGTGATTTTTAATCCTAAACTTACAGACAATATTAAATATTTTGACATAAATTCGACATAAATTCGAAAATAAAATAATTTTCAACTTAGCAAAATTACGGAAATTTTATTTTTTTATTTTTAATTACCTAGCTTTCAATTTTAAAATGATTTCAGTTCAACAACTATAACTATATAAACTATTTATTAACGAGAAGAAGAAAACATAAAAAAAAAAAAAGAAATAAATTAATGAATAAAATAAAAACAACTGTGAAAATTACATTAGTAAATATATAAAATGCAAAAAAAAAAAGGTAATAACATTAAAATAAAATAATGAATATAGCATTTTCAAACAGTTTTAGTATAGTAATAAGAATGTATCTAGATGTGGAATAATTATTTGTGATATATTTAAATGTATTGGACACAGCAAGTAATTATTATTTAATCATATTATAAACATCAAACTAAAATATAGGTCACGGCCTTCCCTGTGGACCATGGATTTTTTTTATCATAAAAATAATAAACATTGGTCCACTTAAAATATAAATTTAATCTTCATTCTTCATAATATTAAGTTTATATTCATTTTCATTATATACCTTTACAATACAATAATACAATATACGTTGAATGTATTTGGTCCATTTGTATTGCCATTATAATAATTATTATTGATTATGAACAAAAAAACTCTAGAATTCTGTGTACAAAAACCATCATTAGAGATTATCTATTTGAGTTAGTGATAAAAAAATGGATAAACGTAAATTCTTTCAAAAGTCTTACTTCCGTGGTAGAAGGACGGAGCTATAAAAAGTTATGTAAATGTATGTTTATATATTTTATAGAATTTTTTTTAAATATTATAAGAATAAATTGGTCGAGTTATAATACATTTTTTATCGGTACCTTTTATTATTATTATTATTATTATTATTATTATTATGCTATAACTATTATAATTATTATTTATTACTAGAATGATTTGTCCAAACATTTCCTTTGTGGCACCCCCTCTGCGGACCATGTCTGCATAAACCTATGACCGTATTGTACAGAAAATGAAATATATTTAGCAATCGAATTGTAAATGAATGGTCGTTATAATTATCGTATCAATTAGTTGAAAACGGTATGCGATGACGGAAGCACAACGTCGTGCAGCTCTGCAAAATCGATGAAAACAGCCCGGGTTCAGATACAATAATGACAAAGCACTACTAGTATCAATAATATCACATAGCTAAAACAGTTAGAACATTAATCGCTTGCATGCAAGCTTTTTACGCGTACCAAAATACATGAAATCGTTTCGTGCGCATGATTTGATGCGGTCTCGTCAAAAAATAACGTTACAAAACTGTGCAAACAGCTTTGGATTAGGTTTGCTTCAGCGTGCAACCTGTGTTCTACATTTTTTTTTTTTTTTTTTTTATTATATATTTGAGGTCAAAGATGAAATTTTTTCATCCTCCTACTTAATGGACGTTACTTCTGAAAATAATTATGAGTTTTTATTAATCTTACACACATTTCCACGTGTGTACGTTCTTGCGACAAGTTTAATACATTTCAAAACGACTGCGAATAGTCGTGAACGCGTGTATATGGTGCACGGTGAACATTGATTAAATATGTTAATTTCTAACTATTTACACGGATATATTTTTTCTCGTCTACTTGCACAAGAACATTCGTTTTATTTGTTCGCAGATTCATATATTAATACATCCGTTTGCAGAAAGTTCTAAATTAAAAATATGTAAAACGAATATTTTAATAAAAAAAAATAAAAATAAAAACTACTCTCTGCGCATTGTACAAACACATACGCACGTGCATATGGTAAAAAAAATGTTCGTTTGTTCTGAATACATTAGAATATATAATTTCGGAACGCGCGTTTCGGTTTCGGGTACCCTAGCGCATGCTTATACGCGTCGTGCGAGCAATGGAAACGAATCGAAACCGTGTCGAACGCGTATCTCGTACATCGCGTTTACGATCGTCGTTTATGACCTTACGACCAGCCGAGCGATGTTATTGCACATGGAAAAGGTGTCGCCCGACGCGGACCCGGGGACGAAAAATCACGTGGGTTAATTTCAGTTTCATCACGTACGGTAAACAGGGAATTTAAATAAACCCACTCGCGTGTGCTTGTGTTTAAACTTCGAGAACAAACGCGAGTAACAGGAAGCCGCCCGACCGTGTTTACACTCCACACCGTAATAACATCTATAATTCAAGTTTAACAGATTATCCGGTCCTCAGACACTTCCCCTTATAGCTACGCGTAAGCAACCTGCACACACATTCACCCATTCAGTGTGGATGGCGGTGGTAAACGTTCGTTTAAGCGACCTTTACTACTAAAGACTATATTATTATTATTACTTAGTACTTAAGGTATGCATTTTTTTTCCTCTGGCGACACTGGTGTTGAGACTTATTCGAATAGAAATATGTTCTACGCGTAATCCGTACAAGGGTAATCCGAGGTCTTTAAAGTGTTCGTTTTGATAAACATTTGATATAAAAAAACTTTGTTTCGTCCAAATTATGGTACGCAATACTGTGCTCTTCATAGAATAATATAAACTGAGCAAATTCGGGACTACGCATACCGCAACACTAACTATCCAACGCACGTAAAAATCGGAAAAATTCTTCTTCGATGCTTTAATGTTTTTTTACCATGTTTTTATGATACGAATAGTATTCATTGAATACTATAAAATACGTTTAATTTGATACTTAAAATTATTATTATTATAATATTAGGTTACAAGATTAACATCATAACGGATCATCAGACCCTTGTTTTCTTGTATCGGTGCCGTCTGCGCAAATCAAGATTGATTCACTGGACAATTGTATTGTAAGAGTATGATCTGCATGTCCAACATTGTCTGGGTAAGGATAATTTTATTGATGTGCTCTTTCGAAACCTTGTTGGGCGTTATGAAATGCTTCTGGATATAATTTCATCTATCTTTCAAATAAGAGTAACCGTAACACCTAAACTTCAATCGATTTCATCAATAGGTTTAAAAATGTCCGTGCTGAACAGTGTAAAGACCCTCGAATATCTACCGTATTTACAAAACTTTCAGTTTCTATGGGTTCACTCAACTCCTTTTATAAAACCTACGAAGGTGTATTATTTTAACAGCGGTTTCTAAGTAGTGAACATTGGTTAATATGTATTTCTAAAAGTTAGGAACTAGCTCTAATCAATTTAATTCATGAATTATATGGTTACGTTGGTGCGAAAAAATGTATTTCAGTTGTAAAAGAAACATCTTTTCAGATTTAAATCGTCGAATTCTTCATATTGTTAGTTGTTGTGATCTTCGTCATCGTGCAAAAACGAGCACTGTCTGTTCATAAGGGCTGATGTAAAATATTCTATCCCAATTTCCTTTTGATTGTATCCTAGTTAATCTATAATGTCTATTACCCACCACCTGTAATGACGTATAATTTGTTTTTGTTATACTGGACAATTTTTCTCGTTTCGTAAAGCTGTACACTCTGAAAAGAGCTACTGCTCTTCCAATTACAAATCGAATGATAGATCATTATATTGCCTTTTACGGAAAACCCAGGGTCATTGTATCAAATTAAAATGTACAATTTAATAGTAAAATTTGGCAAAGTAGGATGTAGCAGTTGGAGTAGTTGGACCCACATTTAAATCCGTGTATCATCCACAGTCAAACCCTGCTGAATGTGTAATGCACTAACTAGGTCGTTTTTTCGCTCGTATTGTGCACAATAACACGCTGACTGGGCAAAATATGTATCATTTATCAAGTGCGTATTGAACCATTCGGTACATGAAGCAACAGGTTTCATGCTATCTGAGTTGTTTTTAATACAAGGGATCCGTTATAAGATCTGGTTGATTTCCCCCCTGTGAACCCTATTGATTTTAAACTGAAATTTACAATAGCTAAAGAAATCCAACACACTTATGAAGAGGCCCGGTAAACGTAAAATGATTTAAAAGGCCCTCCCATCTCTTACCAAATTGGTAATTTTAATTTTGGTCTGTACGCATCCTATTAGTCCCGTCGTTGATAAATGTATTTATAAGTTTTTCTTGCTTTACGAAGGACTATATCAGGTCCAAGAAATAAAAATGCATAATAGTTATGTTGTCAGGGACACGAAAATTAACAAAATCCGTGGAACATTCAATGTTGTCATGTTACGTCCCTATAAATGTTTCCCCTCGAAATGCACTTAATCTTATACAAGAGGATCAATCATTTCGTAGACCTTTATGTAACTACTTACGTAATGATCTTCCCATTTCTCGCAGAATTCATATTTTATCAATTGATTTTATTTCTCAATTAAAATATCTTTTAAATTGATATATATATATATATATATATATATATATAACTGTTCAATTACTTCGTCGTCGTTAAAAAAAAAAAAAAAAAAAAAATAGGAACCGACTTTATTATTATACGCTTACTGTAATTTTAATTAATTTTAATTTTAGTTCCAGTTCTGTTTTCTTCTTCAGTTATTCACAAACATCTACACATCATTTATTATTTTCTCATCGATTTTGATGAAGAGATTTTCTGTAAAATTACAGAACGTGGCTAGTCCACTGTACTTATTTTGGATCGTATCGGACCGCAAGTCGGTGCATGTAGTCATCATCGTCAACGCCATTACCACCAACCTTCTACATATTATTATATTTTGAAAACGACCGACATCTGTCGAGACCAGTCGTCTGCATTAGCAACTTGCCACAAACGCACGTCACGTTTTTGATACATTGGTGCAGCTCAATTTTTGTTGTCATTTGATTAGCTGTCTATATTTTTTTACGATAATGTTGCAGAGATTGACCATGGAATAGACCACACCCATCTTTCTCGCGACGTAAATCATCCTTGGAGTACAAATTTGCAGTGAAAAACGTGTGCTAATATCACGAACGTGGTAACGTATAAATAATGTATTTCTGGGCTGGTAATCATGGAATATTTTCTCTATTATGAAATTTTAAAAATAACCATGAATAATAAAAACATCTTTATATACTTTTGCATGTGTTTATTTTAATATTTTTATTTTATAATTTCTTATTTTATTAGTGTTTAAGAAAACAAAAATCCCATGTGCTTCCCTCATGCATCTCGGCCATGGGTTGGTGACCCTTCGATATACATAGGACATATCATACGACGATGATTCTGGCTGTACGGGGACGTTACAATAAGAATAAAAATATTAGAACTAAACTACATGAGTATAATACTGAATACATGTTTTATTAGTACCTAAATTACCACGAACAGTAACAAAAATTAATATAGTTATAATAATTATTATAATCGTAAATCCCGTATCCCGTAGTATTTTAATTTGATTAATTTTAACTGTTAATGCTCGGATAAAATCATTCAATTGGTATTCAGTACTTATTTTCATAAAAGAGAATTAAAATATTACGATGAAGGATGATAATTGTATTTACCGAATTCTCAAAAATGAATATAGTACATATTGAAACAATTGAGATTATTGGAAATAAACTCTATAATATACATAATATATAATGTATAGGTAGTATACAATTTTTTCAATTATAATAGTCAAAATTAAGATTAGGATGAATAAAAATAATTAGATTATTACATAATTCGTTGATGCATATTTACTTATAAGTCCATATTCTACAATTTTAAAGTATTTTTTACGTGCATGATTATTTATTTTTTAGTGTATGAATTCCTACACAATATTTAAACTATTTTAATTTAATAAACATCCGAGACTTTTTTTTAACGAACTTTTAAAAAAAAAAAAATGATGTGGACAAGTTACACAAAAATTATCTGTGTCAGAAACACTTCGATGTGAATGATTGCATGCAGTGCTCAAATTGGAAAAAATTAAATAGAGAAGCTCAGTCCAACGATTTGAAAACTACGTTTCACGTGCGCAATTATTTGACAGACCCGTGGGGGGCTTCGTCCCTCTCCTCACCCTCCACAAACTTTAAATATATTTTGAATACCACTTTTTAGCTAAACAAATATTTAAATTCCAAATATAATACATTTTGATAGCAATACGAACATCCTATATGTTACAATAGAAAATAAAAATAAAATAATAATTAACATAGGTAATTGTAGGCGATCAGGCAATTTCATGAATCGAATGATATAATCATATACTTGGTTATTGTTTTTATTTATTTTTACTCTTTAATGCGGGCCACGGCCGGTTATGAAATAACTAAGTTAAGATTAGTAAGATTAGTCTAAGGTCGTGGTGGAAGGCATTTATTTTTTTCAGAAATGACGATATCGTCGATCGCCAATATTAATAACAAACCGTACAATGTATAAAGTTTTATCACCAAATTCACAGACATAACTATTTATATTTTTCAGAAATGACGATGTTGTCCCTTATCATAACCATCATATAATCTTAAATTATAAAAATAGTTTTAATATTATAAATCGTAAAATTAATTTTCCAACTGCCGTAAATTGAAATTCACATACAAATTATTTTGGACATCAATTAGGATGAACGGCGTCTCTCCGTTCCAGTGAAAAAATATAGTTGGGGTACGCAAAAAAAAAAAAAAAAAAATAGTAGAGGAGCTCCATTTCCCTGCGCACCCCCCCACAAATTCGAGCACTGATTGCATGCATGGAAATAAAAAAAAACATTGAAACTAACAGTTGCTCCGTATATTTATAATGATAAATCTAAAGAGAATGGTGCTGGCCAATTACAATTCTTAACTCCAACTAAAGCGTACCATAAACCTAGAACTCGAGATACAGTAGAATTAGTATTTTTTAGTCGTTCTTCTAGTCCTTCAATTATTTCTGCACCACCAAAAAAAAAAAAATGATTTCAAATTTAATTAAAATGCCTAGCCCGAATTTAAAAATTAAATTAAATAACGATTAAGCCAGAATAATGTGTTCATAAACACAAAACTCGTAGTAATTTCAATAATTATATGTCTTCTTTTAAATTTCCATCACGTAACTCGTGAGCTTTAGTGATCATGCAATTAAATAAAAAAAAAAAAATTAAATAAACGTCGTATATGTACAAATTATGAAAAAAAAAACTATCTTTGAATTTATTTTATTAATCACCAACTTCGTATAACTTTTTAAAGTCAATACGCCCGCTCCTACAAACATTAGACGCTGAATTGGTCAATCAAAATTTTAGCCTGGAATCAATAACATATTTTTAGTCTAATTGAAAAAAATTCCGACATAAATAAAAATATTTTAAAAGATTTAATAATTTATATTATAGAAAAATTACTTGAAGTTGGTTTGTGTCCAAAACTTAAAGGATGTGATCGAAGTACATACAACTAAAGTGCTTAACAATTATTAAATATTTCTGAAGAAAATTCATTTTTTTTTATAAATAATCATAAAATATTTTTATTATATGTTTTTTCGCATTCAATAAAAAGAATACCTACATAACAATTTTATTAAGGCTTATTTTCAAAAAAATAACAATATTTTTTGAGTTTCTTACATAATATAAATTTATGAAATAGACAAATTAAATAAAACTAGTGAAGTACTAATTAATATTATATAATTCTATAATTAATGATATAACCTTATCTTAACTCTGTAAAAAAAAAAAAATGTTATTAAAAATTCAAGTACTAAACATATAATTATTTTACTTGATTAATTAATTACCTATTTATTTTATTATTGTATACTTTGGATAAACACGTATTTTACGTGACATGTTTATTAATAGCTCTATTCTTTACCGTACTATTTATATTAAATATTTTATAATAATTAATTTAACACGAGTTGATGTTTTATTTACGTTGAATTACACATTATTGTATCAATATTAATAGTTGTAACGAAAAAAATTGCATAATTCAAAATGTATTTTGGTTTATTGAAATGTTTTGAAGTAAACAATCATTGAGAATTAGTTTAAAACAATATGATTACATAAATTATACTCAAAATATACATAATATCACTGAAGTTTGCTCTCATCCCCTTCCACACTTACACACACATACACACATATACTGATAATGATTGTAAACATTTTAATTTTCTTTAAGTGTGTAGCTTAGACTGTCTTTATCAAGTTCATTACATTTTAGAAGTTAAGCTCACCGAATACCCGAAGGGAGGAGACAAATAATAAAATTCAAACAAAAACTTGGACAGTAATTTCACAGAAATGGGTTTAGAGTACGTGCCAAAAGATCTCTTCGAAAGTTAAAATATTTGCCAGAGAATTGTTTTCCAGTATTTCTACTCGCCATACAAGGATTGCGAATACAACTTTAACCGAAACCCATGGTCCACAAAACAAAGATAACTTAGCGCAAAAATAACTGTTATTTCTGTGGAAAAACATGTGCTGATCGCGTTGTCGACCATGAATTGTTTATAACCTCTACCCCGTGAGTGAATTGAACACGTGTTCGTGGCGGCAATCGTGTTAATATATTTTTCTATTCATAAAACGACGTTAAATATGATACATTTTTCGTTTTTCCTACTGCTTACCAAGATATTGCGTATATTTTTCGTCTGCCTGCATTTAAATCGATTACGCAAAAGATAAAAATCCGTATTAATTACAGACAAATAATTATTATTTTTTGATGCTGCAGCACAGCGGGCATGATTTGGGTCTGGTACATATTTATACTATAGATATTACGAATGTAAACCGAGAAGGGGGATTTTTTTTTTTTTTCATTATATTATTGCCGAGGCGCTCGTATGTTAATTTATACAGGATATTATTAATATTATTATGATATATGATCACGAATTTTTTCCATCGTCAAAAAAACTTTAATGTGGTCGCTTTCAAGCTTATGACCGTCAAAATTCGGTTGAAACATACTTTAGTGTGTAAATCTGTCAGTTACACTGTTCTACCAACCAAATTGTTTTCATAACTACCGAGAATATTAAGATGAACATATTAGTGATTGAATAATGAAGAACTATTTGTTTTTCAATAAAATGTATTTGATATATTCATTTTATTTATCAATTAATGTATCAATTGATTTTCAATATTATATTTTTACACTGCAACCTTAAAAAGTAGAGGTTTATGAATCAGTTTTAACACGTGCGAATTATGAATCTGTGAATCGATGATAAATGAGGTCATAATAATATAATATTAAAATCTGATCAAAAACGTAGTCAATTTAACGGTATTGTTCCGGGTTACTACACTACTTAAAATATATTATCGAAGAGTATATTTTTTTTATTTTACGTGAAATCTACATATTGTATTTTTCAAACCATCCCGACAGTAGTTCTAGGTTTTCGAAAGCGAGTGTAGCTAATATTGTCTTAAATATATACGCTTTCGTTGTTACAAAGTACATTTATTTATCGAGTTAGTCAATAGTAAATCTAGAATACGAAATACTCATATATTAAATAACATTTTTGCTGGTTCGGTACAAAAATTTAATTTTGAAAAATTCTCGTTTGAACATTACTATAACTGTACAATACCTTTAACGTCAACGCAACCGATTTGCTTTTTCATGACGTGCGTGTTGATCTGACACATGTAACATCCTTTATCGGACCTCTGTAGCTGTCGAATTTTCAGTTTCCAATTGGTATTGTTATCCACGTCGATGTCTATTCTCCGGTTTTCAGTCACCACCCGTTCGTGTAGACTCAATATGGTTTGGTCTTCTGCTTTCAACCAACCGACCTGAAAACAAAATCGATCGAACATCTATTAATGCTTTGAAAATACGATAAAAATAATATTTGACAACATTTTACATTAACGGTATTCAAAGATACAATGTCAATGTATTTTTATATCTGATGACTTGGATCGCCATGTTTTGATTATTTAAAATTGTATTTGATTCCCATTATTAATTAAAATAACATAAAACCAACATTTCACGTTTGTAAGAAGTTAATTTCCAGAAGAATAAAAAATGGTTCAAGACGAAATTTTTGAAATTCGAGATCCGAGTAGCGTTGACAACGAGTATAAGGAACAGGACATTTTATCAGCACAGTAAGTACTATTGAAACATTTTCATCGAGAAGATATATAGTATACTGTAATTATATCGGAATTTATTTACAAAGTCGGTTATAAAGTAAAAAAAAAAAAAAAAAATTGAAATATATGATATTTCGTTTTATAATTTTTTTTTTTTTTTTTATATGGAAATATATTTTATACTCTTTGGTACAAAGCTATTTGTAATAATAATAATATGTTCACTTTTTATTTCACACGTATTATTTTATGCTAATTCGTTCACATTAAGATGACGTGAATAAATAGAACAATAATATACACCGTACATATATGCATACATAATAGAAAACAGTGAAATACATACGGGAACTAGATAAAAAGCTGCACGCAGTGATTATTAATGCACTTCAAAGTTTTGTACAATCGAGAATACATGTATGAATTAACGTTATTATATGTTTATTTCTACGTGCCCTAAAAGTTTATCGAAATGGAATACATTATTTTACTAAAAATCCGCGGGAAATATACAACAAAACATTAAGATTATTATGTTATTCTACAGCGAATATGTAACAACAATTAATAAATACCATTATTCGTAGCAGAAAACATTAATACTTCTACTAAAAGTGAAAGCGCATCACTTGTAATCGAATGTAAGATAATAGTGCAATAAGAGAAGCACACAAAAAAAAAAAACACCTGCAGTTCAGTAGTTTAGTCCCCTGCAAGTATTTTACGGTTAGGCCTGCAATGAAAATTAATCAAAAAATGCATCCAAATTGCAGTAACGAGTGTAAAAAATACATCTTAAAATATTGCAGCGTCACATTAACATTATAAAGGTACGGAAATAGATCGAAATAGAAACTATTTAGTTTTTTTTTTTAACTTTTTTATGTTTTTAATCATATTCATTGGGCTATTCTATCGAAAAAGTAAATTAATTTAAGTAATTATAACTCTCATGTACCAAAAAGATTTGATGCCTTCATACATCGTAGCACAAACTGATTAACCGATGGTGTTTTGATTATTTTATATTTTTGAGAAAACTATTTCGACAAAATCCCGAAAAAAAAGTGATGATCTATTCACACGTGGTAATTCTGCGTTGTACGGTGAAGTGGCAAACGCTGACCCGGAAAATACGCAAAGAAATGCACGAGTTGATTTGTCGTCGGTTTTGGCAGTTAGTTCGATGTTTAGAAACCGTTAATCCAAAACGCAATTAAAACATAAATCAAAGTTCACCAGTGATGTGGATCGATTTATTACACCGCTTTGCGCGAAGTAGGTACACTAAATTATGTATTTTCAAAAATAAGGTAACTGTGTCCCGCCGCTGCCATATGTCGTTAATAATAATTGCCCGTTCCCGTTCCGAAATATAGTCGATAAATAACGCAATGTTAATAATATCGCGTGACATGCCGAATTGTTATATCGCTAAAATTAACGCGAAAATAGCGTTGATCCGCACGATCGGTGACCACGGAAAAACGGTTCCATCTGGACAATTTAGATGAACACGATGCATGAGGTAAAAACAATTTAACATTCGGATGTAATTTTTTTATATTTTTTATCGTTCATGCAATCCAATGAAAAGTTTACAATGTAAATAAAGCGATAGTTAAATTTAAAATGAAATTTTATGACCTGCAATATAGATACAATCCTTTAACTCCTAACTAGAGTCCAGTTCCAAAAATTCTAAATTTTCTAATTTCGTTTACTGTACAACGTATATACGACTATTATTCAACCTTTGTGCCGCAGAAACTCATTAATAAAGCCATTTTCGACTTGATAAATCGCTGAATTATAATATACTTATTTTGTATAAGTTGTATAATTTTGTTTTATGAAACGCTGTTATACATATGACAGACAGTATATTAATTTTTAATAGATCTTGTGCAGTCCACTAAAAGCATAATGATTGCTAAAATATTTCACATATAATTATATTCATATTATTGCATTCATCTGTAGATTTCAATAAAATTTGGAACCGTTTTGGTGAAAAAGAAAAAGAAATACCATCAAGTACATTGTTAGTTTGTTGTACGGAACGGTTCTCAATTAAAACCATAAGCTAAAGGTGCAATACGATTGTATACATAGAATATTGGACTGCGAGAAGAATGTAAAACATACATTATTGCAATAAATATATTAATACTCCATAAAACTCCATTGATTACTGAAAACATAGAAAAAATATTTAAGTATTAACTATATATATATATATTTATTATATACATAATATAATAAATCTATTATAATTATTGTTGTTATTATTATAATAATTATTAAAAAAAAATTAAAAAAATACTCCGTGAACAATACTGGTTATTGCACTAGAATGAATGTAAATAATGATAAGCAAAATAATGATAATGCACAAGTACAGTAGATAGTGATGCATATTAAACGGAGTTTGCATGTTCTTGACCTTAAAAAGTGTCTAAAAAACGGACAAAAAAAATTAATTACACCCTAGTAAAGTCTTCAGTGTGCCTTGAATATTATTTTAACAAAAAATAAAGTGTGAATTGGTCCGAATGATAAGAATTGTTTTGAAGTGCTCATATAGATTAAAATTTAAAAAAAATATGTTATTTTTTTAATCATTAACCAATACATAAGATAGAACATATTTATATAAAGATTACTCGTGGAATCGATCGATGTTATATTATCGCGGTTTTTACCAAAAAATGTCATGATAACAAGAAAAATAGGGTAAAACATGATCTAAAATCATAATTTAACAATAAATTATGGCTTATAGCACCATGCAATTTGGTAGAAAAAAACATATTTACTATTTTTTAATAATGCATTTTACCTGTTGAACCAAATTAAAATCACGAATCAAATTTATCTTTTCTAATAGTAATAAACAGAACAATTATGGTAATTAATAACCTGAAAAACCTGATAATGTAATGTATATAAAAATTCGATATTTAAAATTCCTAGGATACTCGTTATAATTAAACAAACACTTTTCTGAAAAATAATGGGTAACACACGATTGCATACGATGTTTTAAGCGTTGATGGAAATTTTCATATTGGTATTGGTGTTTACCACATGCCTATACGAGTAAACTTGAAAAATTTAGAAAATAATTTGTATTTTATCGCTTTTATTAGGTATGTTTATCGTTGATTTCCAATCAATCATAGGAGGGAGACCTAGGAGTCATGGAAAGATCCTCGTAATACATTTCTCCGTCAGAATAAGGATATAAGATATAAAAAATAACGACATTATAAAAAAAAAAATATTTTAATTCCACGCTGTATAATATGTTTATATAGCTTATAATTGCACCCTGTATAGGCATAGATAAATTAACTTAGATATATACTTATTCTTATAGGTTTTATCAAATATAAATTACCTATAGAGTTTTCAAGGACATTTAAATAAGGGAAGACTTTTTTTAATTTTGGGTAATGTATATGAAGAAATATCTCGAAGTATGAGAAAAATATATTTCAAATGCTGACTTTGCCTTAAATGTAAAACAGTTAATGGCTTTAGCATTTATTCCGTTACCTAACGTCGACTATTATGACGTGTTATTTATTTTATTATTATTAAACAACATTTTATTATGTTTATATATGTATTATATGTTTATATTATACATTATTTTGAAGTACACAAACAAAATGTTTTTAGAAATTTATAATGTGTTATATTATTACTATACGTTCGATAGTATTTGCACTCCAGCTAACTTTGTCCACCTTCCGATCACTTATACGCACAGTACAGCACATCGATCGGATTTCATATTCAAAACGTGTGTGTGCCATGCATATACAATGGCTACATAGAAGACTGACTTCTTTCACTTTCGGTACCTCTTTGTTTGCAGATAATAGTTAGTGAAAACGATCGGAAAACATGAGTTATTTTAAAAATGCAAAGGAAAAATGTTGAAAAACGTGAAAAAAAAAAATTAAATTGTTGGCAAAAGCACCCTTTAGCTTTTAGGATTTAGGTTAAGTTCAAAATTCAACAACCGTTGATCGATATCGAACAATTTAATTTTGGATTCCGAAAAGGCACGAGTGGACAGTACTTATTATTATTAATATTTCGGTGGTATATTTGTATTATACAATAAATATTATTTATAGATATATAGAATGTATAGAAATATTTATATTTTTTGATTATTAGTTATTACTATTTACATAATTCGTGAACAAAAGAATCAAAACGTCCAATTAAAATGGTATGCGATTATAAATAGTATTACAGTAAGCATGATATTTATTTTTTACTTCCTGACAAAATAATTGTGTACGTCTGCAGATAAATATTTATACAAAATGCCGTGGCTTGTACGTATCTCTTTTGCATATAATATATTGATAAATAAAAAATAATAAAACAAATTATTGGTACTGTTTGATAATTAAAATAGTATATTTTGATATGAATCGGCGTACACTTATAAACGTAGATTATATGTAGTTTTAAGTTATTTATGTTCCGGAATGTTGTCATTTATATGCTAATCTAAATATATATAAATAAAACGCTGTGGTTTAAATGTTCGTTAATTTCTGAAAGAACAACGTTTTCGTTCGAGTATATTATATATACATGTATACTCGTATAGGTAATAACGTAATAATACTGATTCAAACAAATAATAACTGAAACAAATTGTC